GTGGCGAGCGGGGCCCTCCGGAGAAGCGCGGCACCGGGCTGGGCGATGGTGTTGGGGCGGCTGCGGAGCCGGGGTGGGGGTTTGATGCCCGAGCAGCCGGGCCAGGCGTCCTGACCACAGAGAACCTGTCGTGAGCTGCTGTTGTGCACCTTGTGCTAGGCTGTGGTCAAACCAGGAAGGATAGCCGCCGCTGGGTATCAGGACCTGGCGCGCACAGCCCACACCAGCAGACACTGGTTGCGTACCGTGTGCACCATGCTGGAGTGCAGAGTTTTAGGAACTCACACAAGAAAGGATCGGTTCCGCCTTGTGCACCTGCTGGCTGGCAGTGGGGAAAAGACCTGGGCTACTTCCAGACCTTGGCACAAAGTAGGTGCAGCGGAATACAGACCTAAGAACGTTCTTGGAGCAGTGTGATGAGATGAGTAGGTCCAGAATTAGAGTGCAAACTAGGCCAGGCTGGTGTATGGGAAGTGACTGTTAGTTTGAGTTCTGCGACTCCACACAAGACTCAGTTCTTGGAGATTCAGAGTTCTCATCATGAAATGGTGCCTTCCTGCCTCCTATCTAGAGAGGAATACTTATTGAACAGCACACATCCTGTGCCCCACAAAATGCTGGGAGACAGAAACTATAGAACAGTTGCACAAATTACAGAATTAGAGGCCTCCCTGGTGGCTCAGGGTTAAAGATAGTGCTCTCAGGCTCTTGCCAGCCACCGCAGCATGGAGTTCAATCCCCAGCCAGGGAGCTGACCCGCAGGGCACAGCTGACCTCTCCTGTCTCACCCACTGCTCCCCTCAGCAGTGTATTTCAGTAGGTCCACCTGTTCTGCTCCCCACTCTGTCTCTGATGCATCTTCTCATCTGCACCACACAGCTCTCCCCCACCTCTGCCCTACACCCCAGTTCTCTGGAAAAAAAAAAAAAAAAGTTCTGTAGAGAAAGAAAAAAGAGGATATTTTCAAAAAATGTGTTCCTGGATTTAATGTTGAGGAAATTAAAAGAAAAATCAGTTCCTAGGAGAGTGTGATGCCTGCCAGGGAGGGGACAGAGATCAGAGCCGCAGGCATCCAGAGAACCAAGTCATGGACGCTGCTTTTGCAATGCCCCAGGGAGAGACAAGTCTTCCGGATTCTAGTTCATGTGGCTGAGCACACATGATTCTAGTTCATGTGGCCTTTGAACTTTATCTTGGAATCAGTGTTGAACAAGAAAGGGTTTTCAGCAGGGGAGCCACACAATGTGATGTATGTTTTATAAAGTTCACCCTGGCTGCTCTGAGAACAGACTGGAGGGCCACAGTGGCCGTGGAGAGGTGAGGGAGGTGCCTGCGGCTGTCTGCCTAAGAACTGGTGGTTTCTGGGCCAGTGAGCAGCTCAGGGCATGAAGAGAAAATGGACCTGAAAACTATGTGGGAGGTAGAACAGGCTAGATTTGCTGAAGGACTGGGAGGGAGGAAGGTGGGAGAACAGGTTGATGGAAAAAACAGCAGTGCCCCAGGGTCTGTGCCTTGGTGATGTGGTGTGATGAGGATTACTAGAAGAGGAACAAACTTGGGGTGAGTCTGACACATTTAGTGTGAATTCAGTTTTAAACGGTAGCATTTTTGTAGCAGGTGTAATTTCACAATGAAGTTGAGAGAGGTACGAAGATTTCTTATATTCCCCCAACCTCACTCATGCCGCCTTATAATCACCACTACAATGTTGCTATTACCAATGATGAGCCTACATCCACACATCATAATACATAATCTAGGCTGATGCATATATCAGTAATTTTTCACGAACTTGTATAACCTGGCATGGATATGACACAGTTGGTTTAGCTATTCACCCATTGGATATATGTTTCCAGTTTTTACTATTAATAATAAAACTGCTAAGGGTGTACAGATTCGCTATACAACTTTGTGTGAAATGCTACATCTACAGAAGCTCATTCAGGGCAACATGAACCCCAGGTTTAAGACTCCAGATATTGAAAAGAGCAAGAGGGGATGGATGAGGCTGCTTGAGGAGAAGACAGAATCCAGACAGAAGGAACCTCTCAAAATGGAAACGTTTAGGGATTGGGCAGGAGAAGAGAGTTGAGGTGACTGGGAAGGAGCCAGCAGAAAGGTGGGAGAAGACCCTGGAAGGGTGACATCCTGGAGCTAGAGAAAGGACTGCCACAAGCCCTTAGCAGATTTGGGTGAAATGGTGGAGACTTAAGCCCCTCTAGAGCGGGCAGGAAAGGGCTGGAAGCTAGGGCAGAGAAGATGGGGGCACAGACCATGCTCTTGTGACACTGTTGCAGGGAGGAGAGATGCACAGGGCATTCTAGGGAGGTCTGCACATGTGTAACTGGTGGGGGGAAAGGGGCCTTGCTGACAGTGGGCAGGCAGGCCCAGTAAGGGCTAAGTGGTTTCTGAGAGAGCAGGAGGGGGAGGAAGCACTGGCCTCAGGAGGGAATAAGCTACATCAAAACCAGGCAACCTGTGGATCCAGTTTGGCTGTAGGACTAATGGTTCTAATTTGCATTGTGCTTCGAAGCTGGGGCAGGTGGCCAGGTGGGAGCTGAGAAATGCCAAGTGGTTGCCTTCTCAAGAATCTTCTGGCCACAGATTCCAATGATGCAGTTTATTGAGAGACAGAAAAGAAAGGCACACATCGGAAGACAGAGGAAGCAAGGGGTCCAAACAGACCTGTGGAATCTGTGGAAGTGTGTGTAGGAGGACTTGGTGACGTGGTCCTCAGGAGGGGCTGTGCTGCTGGTGGTTAGATTCAGCCAGGGGAGGGGCCCAATTTAGCCATGGCTTGATCTGGCTGGACGGGGAAGACAGTCCAGAGCTATGGTGGTGGCTGTGTTCTGTGAGGTTCCCAGCTGCCCAGGATCTTTCCAGAGTTTTGCCCTGCAGTCCCAGACATAACCCTTGTCCTCATGATCCTATGACCACGTTCTGGTTCTAGGATGCAGGATGAATGGTGGGACAGAAGAGAGGGTCACATAGGAGCTTTTGGGAAAGCTTTCCCAAAGGTGCCATAGAAGCCCTTTACTTACATCCCACTGGCCTTCCCTAACCGCAAGAGCAACTGGAATGGGCAGTCTTTATTCTGGGACCAAAAATCTTGTGTTCTATGGCAGTAGAAGCAGGAGAGGATGTGTGTCCAGGTACAGATGGCCATTTTTGCCACAGGGGCATCTGGCCTATAAAGGTATAGTAGGAGCAGGATACACCCGGCCCACCTTTCCAAGAGGCTACTTCTCTTTCAGGAATGGATAACCAGACCGTCCTGGCCGTCCAGTCGTTGTTGGATGGCCAAGGAGCAGTCCCTGATCCAACAGGCCAGAGCGTCAGCGCACCTCCTGCTATCCAGCCACTGGGTGAGTATTTGCTCAGCTTCCCCAGAGGGAAGGTGAGTGGCTTCAACCAGTGGGCTGGTGAGGGGGTGTGGGAGCGAACTGCTCATTGTGGTCCCCAGATGTCCAGCTGGATCTTGGGGCTCATGCCTTTTGCTGGCTCAGCTCTGAAGACACTCTCTCAATGATTTGTGAGTGGAGGAATTATAACCCAGGGAATGGCCAGGACCGCAGATATTTGACACTGCTTGCTCTCTTTACCCAGTAGTTGCTCAGCCCCTCTTCTGTGGAAAGAACAGGCTGGAGAGGGTGTGAATCTCTCCACTAGGTCAGGCCCCTTGGACGCAAAGAGGATGTGGAACTTCTCTAAGAACCCTGTGTGAGTCCATGTACTCATTTACTCATTCCACAAATATTTTGACTACCTGAGAACCGTGCTGGAGGCAGAGAGATACCCACCTGGTTTGGATCCTTATTCCTCTAGTTGCTACCTTATGACCTTAGGCAAGTGTCTCTGTGTCTTGCTTCCCACCTCTGTAAAGGCGGGATAATAGTCCTACTCGCAGAAGTCTTGTGAGGATACTTGGGATTTGGTTTTAGATGCTGTAACTAAGAAACATAAGTTTCTTGGGGTTTATAAGATGGAAAATTGACTTATCTGTTACATGTGCTCCTGGTGGCCATTTGGGATGAGCATGGGGAGATTCAAAATCCAGAAAGTAGACTCATTTCTTGTGGCTCTACTGCCCTCAACATGCAGTCCAGGCTGGCTGCTCAGGCTTCCACTGTCATGTTCCAGTCAGCACGAAGGGAAGAAAGAAGTAGAAATCATACCCCTTCGTTTTAAGAGGAAGTCGCATAGTGTACTGCTCTGGTCTCTTTGGTCAGGATTTAGTCACGTGACCTGTCGACACAGATGAAGGCTGAAAGATGGTTCATCTTAGACAGCGATGTTCCCCACTAAAATCTTTGGTTTTCTTTAAGAAGGAAGAGTAAATATTGAATCAAATCAGGCATTTCTGCTACAAGACACCTAGTGCTTGGGACAGTCTGTGGCCTGTGGTAGTGCCTCAATAATGGCTGTTGTTAACTGACGCTAAACATTCACTTATTCAGCAAACATACCCTGAGGGTCTCCTGTGTGCCCAGGAGATACCAGAGTTATGGTAATAAATAAAACATGTTTCTTTCCTTTAGGCGACCCTCAGTCTGGAGACATGAGGGGTGTGCTCAGAGGAAGGAACTGTGGCCACTGGCCTGGGAGGACCTCCCGGAGGAGATGACATCTGAGCTGAGCCTTGCAGAATGAGTTTTCTGAGAGAGGCAGCCAGGCAGGGGAGACAGGGCATACAGAGACCCAGAATGTAACCCTGTGGCCTGCTTGGGGATTGATTTTTCTTGATTTCTAATGTTTTGATAGCTGGGTGGACAGGGCCTGACCCTCCTATGGAATGCCTCGGTAGCTTCGCAAGTTCCTGGGAAGCGTGTGGGTGACTCCTGACACAAGCACATCCCGTCACCGATGCTGTTCAGATTTGCTGCTCTGGTGGCCCAGATGTGGGTCTCTCCCTGTTGCTCACCCTAATGCCCTCTCATTTATTCTTGCTATTTTTTTTCTCCTTCTCCCCTCTCTCCACTACTCTGCGGGCATCATCCCCAGATGATGAGGATGTCTTTCTCTGCGGGAAGTGTAAGAAGCAGTTCAACTCGCTGCCTGCGTTTATGACCCATAAGCGGGAGCAGTGCCAGGGGGGTGCCCCGCCCCTGGCCACAGTCTCTCTGGCCCCCAACAACATCTACACACCTTCTGCACCACCCGCTGCAGTTCAGCAGGCCCCGCCTCCTGCCAGCCGCCAGGTATTCGCACCGTCCTTTGTTTGACCACCCAGCAGGTGTTTTTCATTTTTATTTTTGAACATCTGCAACGTGTCAGGTACTGTGCAGGCACTCCCATATCACAGACCTGAGGACATGGGTGACATGGGTGAGCAAATGTATAGGCAGAAGCATTTTTCAGGAATTTGAGTAGAGAGAGATGAGGATAACAGGCATGGGAGGTTTTGCCTTTTTGTAAATGATGCTTAGGGATGGACTCTGGGAAGAAGTGACATTTGAGCAGAGATCTAAAAACATGAGGGAATGAATCATGCTACCAGTTTGGGGGAGCGGATTCGAAGCAGAGGGGGCAGTACATGTGGAGGCTCTGAGGTGGCAGTGTGCAGGGCTCATTCCAGGAACAGCAAGACGGTGATCGTGGCTGGAGCTGAGTGAGTGGGAGATGGTACAAAGGGAGCAGGGGCCCCTGGCAGAGCGTGCGGGCTTTTGTGAGTGAGGTGGGAGCTACTGGCAGGTTTGGGGCAGAAGAGAGCTGTGTCCCTCTGGTTGCAAGACAAAATAGCTTTTGATGGGAGTCAAGGACAGGAAACCCATGGGCGACTGTCACGTAAGTCCAGGCGGGGGGGGTGGGGGTGTCCTGAGCAGGGGTGGTGAAGGTGGAGCGAAGGATAGAGGCTTTGGAACTCTTTGGAAAGCGGAGCCTACATCCTATGGACGGATGGCTAGAGCAGGGTGTGAGATCAAGCCGAGTCAAGCGTGACTTCGCGATAGGAGTTCTTGTTAATTAGAGATGGCTGAGGAGCTTTGGGCGAAGACGCCAGGCCATGCTGGATTTGACACGCTTGACTAGAATAGAGGTGGTGGCGATGCAGCTGGGCAGACACGTCCGGCAGTCAGGGGAGAGGGCCAGGCTGCAGAAACCCCCAGCATCCTCACTGAACACAGTACTGGAGCAGACACCTGGAGCGGGGCTCTTTGAGCGGTTCAGGAGTCCTCATAAAGGAAGCCGGGCATGTTTCAGGATGCCAGCTCAAGGAGCTGAATTTTTCTGTTTTCCTTTTGTCTCTTTATTTCTTTGAAACTTTATCTTCATTTTATCATGTAGACATAAGTCCTGCCACTAAAATAAAAGCTTTTCCACCATCAGACCTGTAGGATGTGGAGATTGAAACCCTTTGAGTTGCCACAAAAATCTAGCATAGATTTCTAGCATAGATCACACTCTTGTTCTCACTCCTTGAGTTTTGTTGACAGGAAATATTCCCTCTTCCCCTCTTTTTTTTTTCCCCCAAAATTAAAAGAGTTCCCCCATTGCTGAACAAGAAAATAATTAGACAGATGGTTGGAAAAGGGAAATGCCAGTGGCCCTGCCTCAGTGACTTGGGTAGATAGGAATGTGGCTTCCCATTTTTCATCTCCGCCTAATTCACGTGGTATTATAAAAATATGTGTGTGGCGGAATCTCCTCCACTGCCTGTCATGGCTGTGAAGGGGGCATTTTCCTAGCCTGGCTGCTCTGGCCTCGCTGGGTTACAGGTGAGAACATCCTGTTTGGACAGGATTTCTGGGTTCAGGGCCCAGCCACTGCTGTCCTCAGAGAACCTACAGAGATAGCTGATGGAGCCAGATGCCAAGGGCTGCCCAGTGAGGAAAAGCAACAGATAGGAGAGGAGCGGTCACTGCATAGCTGGCGCTTCTGTAGGGGTCGCCTTTCCTCCTCACGGTGACCTCGAGAGCATTCAGTGTTTCTGTTGTTATTATTAATTTGATTTTTTGTAAGGACTACGTGTTTTCCTTCTGCCTCTTCCCTACTTCCAGGTAGCTACTGGTGGATATTGTTTTTCAGTTGGAATCATTTTTAATATTTAAAAATAAAAAGTGAGCATTGATTTTTCACCCCCTTTAGACACATGCCCAGGTCTTGCCAGAATGCGCAGAGCAAACGAATTCCTCCCTGCCCTCCTCAGGCCCTCATCTCATGGCTGATGCTGTTTGCTGGTTCTCCCTCCTTTCCAAATACACAGTATTTAATACTCTGGTTTCTCTTCAAATCGTATAAATCTTTTCACCTTTTACCAAATACACAGTATTTGCTCTTTTTTTTTTTTTAAGATTTATTTATTGTTCATGCATACAAGAGCTGGGGTACAGGCCAGAGATGCAGGGGGTGAGAGAATTCACCAGAGACAGAGTGGGGAGCAGAACAGGCAGATCGACGAAGTACACTGCCGAAGAGAGCAATGGGCGAGACAGGAGAGGTCTGCCGAGCCATGGGTCCCCCGGGCTGGGGATCGGATTTGTGCTGCAGTAATGTGGACGGCCTTACAGTGCTGTGCTTTCGCCCTTGTGCCAGCAGGGAGGGCCCATGCTCTATATTTTAAGAGTTTTTCCCATATTTTTTACATATCCACATCTTGTCTTGAATATTCAAGATAGGAATATATAATCTCTATATTGTTATAAAATCTGATATTTTGTGCAGCATCTTTTACCAGCTATGTAATATTTTATTCCATGACTGAGTTTTTCCCCCCCTTACTTCATTCTCCTATCAATGACCCCAAGGTTATTTCCAGTTTTTTACCATTGGAAATAAAGTCATGCGGTACATTCTTACTTGTAGACTCCTGTGGACATGTGCGTTTCTCTAGGATGGCTACCTGGAAGTATTATTGCTAGGTCATTATATCAAGGCATGTACTTATTCTCCTCTTTTGATAGATGAGGAAATAGAGGTTCAGAGAGTGGAATGACTTGCCCAAGTCACATAGCAGGGAGCAGTAGAGGTGGAAATGGAACCCAGGTCTGTGAAATTCTAGAACCCAGATCTTTTGTAGCACTGCTCTAGAGCGTCACACATGTCCTCTCTTCCCCCGTCCCATCCAGATCTCCACGTACATCACAGTGCCGCCGTCCCCACTGATCCAGACCCTGGTGCAAGGGAACATCTTGGTGAGCGATGACGTGCTCATGTCTGCTATGTCAGCCTTCACGTCCCTGGACCAGCCCATGCCCCAAGGACCCCCACCAGTGCAGGTAAAGAGAGGGCTGGCTTCTCATAGCGTCTCAATCTCAGGCCTGGATTTTGGCTCCTGTGGATTCAGAATCTTATGGAAAGGAGGGGCTCCTCCCACATATTGAGGAGGATGGTCAGCCTTGGCCAGTCACATGTGTGTGTGGGAAACTGTCATGTTCAGTTGGGATCCCGAGTATGATTTTGGGGTTTCACAGTCATCCTGGGTATTTTGACTACTATATTTCTTCTTCTTTTTTTTTTTTTTTTAATTTATTTGTACATACAGAACTGGGGTACAGGCCAGAGGCTCAG